CTCCCCTCCCTAATTTCTGTGTTTTACTGGCTAAATATCTAAAGACAACACCATATCTTTGCATACAGCAACCTTCGGTCAATTGATACTGTATATTAGATATTCTTGGTCAGTTTATTGCTTTAAACTACTGTGAATTTATCTCATTGGATAAATGTGTACCATCTAGGGAGGGGAAATTTTTTCTTTGCATGATTATGTTTCAAGTGAAGTTGCCAATTCTTTTATCCCCCCCCCCCTTTCATGCTTTTATTAGGAAGCTTTAACAGCAGTGATTCTCATGTCCATATTGTGAGAACTTTACATATTGATTTTACTCTAAAAGAGTAGGAGCAGGAAATATCATTTTCTAATCAGTGGTAACTCTACTCTTGGGCTGTGGTACCCATGCCCACAATTGGGATTCTACACAGATTTCCAGGAACAACTTGGAACATAGTGTCATTGTCATCTAAAAAAAATTGTACAGAACCAGTGTGTGATTTCCAAGGATCTTGGATAGAAAACAAAAACAAAGCAGCACAATTCTCAGAAGAGGCTATAAGTGTGTTTTTGTACACATTGACTTTTCCCATTTTATATATTGTAATGGTTTTCTGCCTTCAAACCGGTGGAAGGCGATTCTTCTTGCTTACCTTGTTTTGTGCGCATAAATTGGATAATTCACTGACACAAAGATGAGCTAGCAAACTTGTTCACCCAACAGCGTTCCTGAATTTTTGTATTTCACCTTCTGGTTTCAGTGTACATGACCTTTTATATGCTTGACATTAAATCCAGACAAAATGTTTTATAACTGTGAAATTTAATAGGACAAAAAATGTCTCTTCCCCCCCCCCACACACACACATACTGTGAACAGGATTTCACAACAAATGCATCCCTTGTAGAACATTTACTTAATGCTGCTGATTACACATTTGCTGACATTGAGTTCCAATCCTAATATTCCTGGGAGTAATTTGTATGAAACCCAGCCTGGCTTACTAATAGTGGCTGCATCTAAATCCCACAGAATTTTGCATAGTTTATTTTGAAATGATCATGCAAAATTTATTTGAACATCCAGATGGTTTGCTTGTACTTAATTTACAAACATCAAATGTCAGGTTTTCGAACTAAGTAGGCTTTATTAAGTATGCATCAAACTATTCATATATAAACGAGAGAAGGAGATGTACCGTATATAAGCAGCAGATAGTATATTCTGGAGTTACTTGCTCTCTGTTTCAGCACTGAAACTTGCAACATCTATCAGGCTATAAAAATTGTATTATTTTTATTTTTAAAAAGTCATGGAATGAAAAAGCTGGGTATCAGTTGCATATGTATTATATCTACATACACACAAACATACATATAAGGAAGTGATACTCAGCTATACATAGAGAAATGATGCATATATACTGTAAGTGATGCATATATAGAAGTGAGCCTGTAATCCTTAATTCAGGATAGAGTTGGGATATAGAAAGGTGTGGTGGCCTAGTGGTGAAGATGCTCACCTCCCACTCGGAAGGTTGAGAGTTCATTCCTAGATAGCCTAAGGGCACAAAGAGAAAATATGTGCTGTGACTCCCTGTAGGCATCAGAAAGGGCATCCAGCCAGTAAATGCTCAGCTCCATCCATCGTCCCAATTCTACCCTGAATTAAGGGATTACAGAGTTGTAAAAGGGGGTTATTTAATATTTCTTAACTGTCCATCTCCCCCAGAAAGGGGCTCATCCTTATATATATAGATGAGCTCACTGTTCATGTTTTTACACTCCAGGTTGCTATTAAAAAACATGCTGATTTGTTTCTTCCTGTTATAAAGAAAGAAAGAAGCTTCAAAGGGCATTCAGATCAGGCAAAATAATTAAAGAGGGAGACTTCTGTGTGCATTTGTATGTGACAAAGAAATTTATTATTACACAAATGGATCTATGAAGCCATCTATTTATCTAGAAGAATCACTAAATAACCAAGCTTTTCGTAATGCAGACTTTCCGCGTATAACATAAACTTTGGTCTACTTGACAGATTCAGCTTTCCTTCAGAGAGAATTTAGGTTTTGAAAAATTACGGCTATCAAATTGAAGATTATGAAAGACCTCTGTATTTTTCCCCCCCTCCCTGGATGTGAAGAGCAGCGTAGGTGGCAAACATCAAACAAACATGCAAGGAAAATAAAGGATTTGTTCATGTTCTCAGTTGCATTTGGGAATCTAGGCAAGTGATGAGAACTCACACTCTTTCCAAAGCCTGCAGAAGCTATAGTAGGGGGGTCTATGGGCACGTTACAGATAGTCCTTGACTTATGACTGCAATTGAGACTGGAACTTCCAATGCTAAGCCATGCAGTTGTTAAGTGAGCCCAATTTTATGACCTTTTTTGCAGCACTTCCCACTATTGACTTTTTTTGGGGGGGAAGCTCCCTGGGAAAGTCGCAAATGCTATGTGAGTCCACTCCACACTGCAACCATTACAAATACATTCAGTTGCCAAATGCCTGAATTTTGACAACAGTTATAAGTGTGAGGACCAGTGGTGAATCATTCTTTCGGTACTTTTGTAATTTCAAGTGGTCATTAAATAAATGATCCTAAGTCAAGGACTATCTGTATGGTTTGGTGAAGTCACACAGGAGGAGGAAGTGTATTATTTTGTATTTTCTCTCTTTGTGCTTCCAGGTTTTATACAAAGAAGGGGAATAATATGCATCTCTCCCTGGAGAACAATATCAAAATTGCGAGAAATTGACATTCAAGTTTTTTTTATTATTATTACAGTATTTTACTGTTTTATTTTTGATTGGTTTTTATTTTATGCTAAAGCATAAAAGACATAGGAAAGGGCTATAAAATGTAACAAATATTAGGCCTGTGCAAATAGGGTTTGCTATGATTTGTCAAATCAGTTCAAACAATACGATCAATCCAATCTGAATTGTTGAATCAGTCTGAACAATGCAGTGGAGTTTCAAGTCTGAAAGGATGAATCAGGTCAGTAATTCAGAAATCTGATTGTTCATGTGCAGAAAACTTTTTTATCCCCCAAATCAAATTGGATTATTGGATTCAATCTGAATCAAGTTCATACACTGAATCTTAAAAAGTTTGCTAATTTGAATTGATGAAATGAAAATTTGGACAGTCTTAATAAATACAATAACTCACATTGCTTTTCTCTGTACTTTTTACCAGATTGCAGACTTATACTACTTTTCAAATCAGCTTAGCACCAATTGTTTACTATTAAATCAGGATAATCAGTGCGTTCAGGTAGTCCTCAACTTACAACAGGTCATTTAGTGACCGTCCGAAGTTACACTGGGACTGAAAAAAGTGACTTATGACCATTTTTCACACATTTATGATCATTGCAACAACCCCAAAGTCATGTGATCAAAATTTGGATGCTTAGCAACTGATTCATATTTATGACGGTTGTGGTGTCCTGGGGTCATGCGATCTCCTTTTTGCGACCTTCTGACAAGCAAAGTCAATGAGAAACCAGACTGAACAATCGTGTTACTAACTTAACTACTGCAGTGATTCACTTAACAACTGTGGCAAGAAAAGTTGTAAAATGGGGCAAAATTCATTTAACAACTGTCTTGCTTAACAACAGAAATTTTGGGCTCAATTGTGGTCATAAGTCGAGGACTACTTGTACTTCTGGATACTGACATGGCTACAATTGCACCTCTTGGTCCCTGTTAAGCTGCCTATTTCACTTGATTCCCCCCCCAACTTTAAAAAAGGCATACTTTAATAAAACAAATTTAATAGAAGATGAACATGCTGCAAAGCAAAACACCAGCCTCTAGCATAATAATTACTTATAACAATACCTTTGGGTTCAACAAGAACCTAAGTGCTAATTTCCTTCTAGTAAATGGATACATGGGATTCTCCATCCTTTTCACAGCAGCCATTTTATAGAAAGGTCAAATCTCTCATGGCAGCCATTTTGTGAATGTGCCTACCACATGCTATCACTCTTTGCCCCCAGCCCAAAAATGTTTCCTAATCTAATCCTAGATTAGGGGATCTCAAAGTAAAAAAAATGAAGAAGAAATATGTTTGGGAGTTTAGCCTAATGGTTATAGATTGGTTTTTTTTTTAGTGTATTGGGGGCATATTTAACCAGTCTCATCCTAAGGCCTGGTGAAATCTGGAGGTGAAACATTTGTTTAAATTTGTTAGGTTGGCAACAGCTTTGCAAACACAATTCAGCCTTGCCTGTTGAGAATAACTTTCTAAGAACTATGATCTGATGAGAGACACCGTCTGGAGATAACAGGGACTAAATGTCACATAGGATATTATGTCTATTACTGACTTTTGGACTCTCTTAATAACCTAACATCTCTCCCCCCACCAAAAAGGAGAATATTATTGTTCCTGTTGATCCATAGGCTCTAGGCAGCAATCTCCAAAACAGGCTTCATATTTCACCAGCAATGAACAGTGAGGGGTGGGGGTGGGAACAAAAGGCTCTTGAATTCATAAGGTTATTAAAATTAAGCAAAGAAATCGCATTACTGAAAACTGGACACTGAAACATCAGTTTGTAGTGACTCTTGCTGTTGTGCTCAGACAAAAGGGGGATATAGTTGCTTCAAATACTATAAGCAAACTCAATTTCATTGGGAATCATTAGAATGAAACGTCCCACATACTTTGTTTTTTCTATTGAAGGCTTTACAGGGCTAAGTTTGCTAAATAGGAAACATGGTATCAACAGCAAGCAAGAGGACTCTTTGTCTTTAAGAGCACATGACTGGGAAAAATGCAATGTGTAAAGTTGTTTTTTTTTTCCATCATGGAAACAGGCTAATGGAAGCAGCTGTCCATGCAAAATTTGTCCCATCATGCAACAGTTACAGACAGAGAAGCCAAAGTCTGGAAAGGAATTGGCATTTTGGAAGGTAATATTTTCTTTAAATAAAGCAGAAGTGCTTTAAGAGCCCTCCTTTGATCAACATCACATTAAAACACTTTTTCTTTCTCTCTTTTGCAGTTAAGGCATGCATACCTTAGGAGTTATTCTTCATCCACTTCTGCTACAAACTGTGAATGATGTTCTGGTGACTTGCTGTGTGTTTTGCTTAGATGAAGTTTGACAGCATGTTTGCTCACAAATGTCCGAGAGCACAACTTACATTTGAACTTAGAGTCTGTGTCCTCTTCTCCAGCTATTGTTTCAGGAGATCTTTGAACTGAAATTCTGGAAATGTCTTGCTCTACCTTGGTTTGCTGCTCCACAGCCAGCTTGTTCATGTCTTTCATTTGGAAACCTAGATGGGATTCTAAATGGCCGATGTATGTTGATGGGGTTCTAAACTGAGATGCACAGTCACTGCAATAAAAGATGGGGTGTCCCTTGTCCATGTTTTTCAAAAACTTTGTCCCCCCAGTTTTTCTGAGCTGGTACTTGACATTCGCCAGCCAATGGCTGATGGTAGTCATGGACAACCCAGTAAACTTGGAAATCTGCATACGTTCTTGAGGGCCCAGATCTGACAATAAATATTTACCCTCTGATGTTTGGAAGAGACTGGATGCAAACTGGGCCTGAAGGATCAGGAGATGCTGAGGATTCCAGTTGGACTGCCTTCCTTTTCTTTTATGCAAAGTGGAGACTTCGGTTGAGACATCTTCGAAACGCCGAACGTCCATTTCCAGTTTCATTGATGGGATTCTGGAGGATGCAGCAGGTTTTGGAGTTGTTGCTTTGGGAAGGACTTTGACCATGTCTGCAATGTCAGACAGAGCATGCTTCTGAGGTGGGGAAGTACAAGATTGAGCCTGGACAGATTCCCCTTTCTTATGCTTTGATTTTGTCAGGTCAATTGGCTGATCGTTGCTCTCAAACACATAATGCCTCGATGTAACTTTGGCAGGTTTTGCTGGCGTTGACGCAGGAGACAGAACAGGCTTCTCTTTTATATTTAAATTTGGTTTGTGGAACAAAGACGTTGAACTTGAACTGGGGCTGGAGTTTGACTGAGGTCGCAAAGGCTCATTCGCTTTGCCCAAATGGTTGTTCAGCACAGACTGCAGGGCACTGAGTGGGTTTAAACCAGGCAGCTCTGAAGTGTGGTTCCCAGTAGGGCATCCATTGCTGAGAGATGATGTCACAGAATCCTTTGTTTTTATTTTTTCCTCCTCTTCCTTTGTCTTGTGTTCCTCCTTCAAAGGACTTAGCTCTGACTTTTTGGACTCTACACACATCTCAGCCTGAGGAGGAGAGTCTCCTTCATTCTGATATGGAGGAACCATGTCTGTCTTGTTGCCATCTTTAATGTAGTCCTTATGAGCTTCCTTCTTGGGGTCTCCTTCTTTTTTCAACTGGCTGCACTGGACTAGATTAGCTGTCATGGGTACTATGGGCATCACTTTCCATTTTGGAGCAATAGGCCTCAGTTTATTACTGACTGTTGGTCGAACTTGCAAAACTTGGGATCCCACCGGTAAGGAAGGCTTTGTTCCTTCAGAGAGCTGGTATGCTGCATGGATGCTGGGATACGCACTCCAGCTGGGTGCTCCATTCTGAGCTTTATTGATGGCTGTGGTGACAGTGTTTTCCAAAGACTTCAAAATGTCTCCACCACCTTTTGAAGCATCTTCTAAATCTTCCTCCCGGAGATACTGATATTTCATTGTTGGGTCCAGTGGTTTTTGAAGAACATCTTCATAGTCTTCATTTTTTATCACTTTTTCATCTTTGTTTGCTTCCTCAGATTTATTTTGCTTACTTTCCTTTTTTAGCTCTGAAGCCGGAGCTGTAGAATCAGTTGATGAATTACTGGAGGGTTTCGAATGCTGGCTGTCAGTGGCTGACGCATCAGAAAGCGACTGCATTTTTTCCACAGCCAAGGGATCCAAAACAAGTTGTTTCCCTTTCTTGGAAGCTGAGCTCGTGACTTTCAAGAAGTGACCCGTGACCATCATGTGGGTTGTGAGTTGCTGCAAAGTATCGTGGGAGCTCCCGCATTCCATGCACTTGAGAATCTGTGATTTGCACGCTTCAAACTGCCACGTGTAGCTGGCACCATTCTGGTAGCCGTAACGATTGTTAGATGATAGCTGAAGATTGGCATTCTTATGAGAAGAAAATGTGTCGGCAAACGATCCAGTGGTCGAATCTGGAGAGCAAGGCCTATTAATGTCGAACACACGTTTCTTATTTGGAGTTACCATCTTGGAAGATATGGTAGGTACCGGCTCCTTCAAAGGCACTTTTTGGTAATGTTTTGTTTTGATCATATGGACACTTAGGTCTTGAAGAGAGTCAAAAGAGTCACCACAGAACATACATTTCAGAACTTTCTGAGCATCTTCTTTATCCATGTCCTGAAAGGCCCTTTTCCGGGGCTTGGAATAGCTGGTAGATCTGTGCTTGTCTTTTTTATGGTTGTCATCTTGGTAATGGCCACTTTCGTTCATATGGACAGTAAGCTCCACTAAGGTATCATAGGCAGCACTGCACTGCCTACACCGAAACCTGCTAGCACCTGTGAATACAGTTCCACACATTTTGCTGCTTTGCCTGTACAGCTGGACTGAGCTGAAAAGGTTCGGCTTGGAGAGGGGCCGGACTGGTAAACTCTGCTGCAAGCTTTTGGTCAAGGCATCCTGATGCCAATCAAAGTCACTTTTGCTTGCTCCATTTCTATTATCACATCCCCTCTTATCAGAAGTGGACAGCTTGAGCCCCAGTCCCAAGCCTGTCCAGTAAGAATCTGAAAGGATATTAGCATAGACAGCTGTCATTTTATCCATGCAGCTATGTGCTTCTGTTGGATGTTTGGGATGGATATTGCCTTTGGAGTCTGATGCCTCCTTGGAGCAGAGGCTTTTAATGTCTGCCACCTGGTCGCTAGCATCACTGAGCAAGGATTCGTTTTCTGCATCCTGATTGGAGATATGACTCCCTGGGGAATTTTGGTAGCTGAAGCTTCCTTTTGGATCAGGGCCCACCTCATGTTCTTCATCTGTTCCAGGGTCGTTGCTACCCTGAAGATGAGCCGTTGAATTGCTCTCATCATCATCCTCTTCCTCTTCTTTTATGTCTTCCTCATCTTTCAGATCATCTTCTTGGACGTAACCTGAAAAGGAATATAGACATCTGTGAAATAGGTCAAATAAAAGAAATGAACATTCATTTTTCTAGTTGCTTCCCCTACTAGAGTTTGGTTAATCTTCTATTTTTATGGACTGTTAGCACAAGATGTGAAAAATCCAGCAAGACTACTTGGTTTTATTAGCAGATAATCATTATTCTTTATATCTTATAGACATTTGGAGTTAATAATAGTAGTCAAATTTTAACCACCTCTTAATGGAACAGTCAGAAAAATTAATATCTGAGATCCTATTAAGCCCATTAAAATTACATGATCATATGGATATTAGCTCACTTGAGAAAATTTCAGCTGGCCAAATAAAGTATTCCTGCTTCTAAGTCGTATTTTCAGGTACAACAATGTTGTCAACATGATAGCCATTCAGAATGCTTGAGATGACAGAACAAATGAATGCTTCTACTCTGAAAATTTTGTATGATCTAATAGGCTGTCCCTAAATTGTAAAACATATTCCAAAGAAGGGTGTGCTTCATTCTCATATGAATACTATACGATTTTCATTCAGCTTATAAAGGATAAAATTGTTATAACTCTGTATCTCATCCTAAATGGAGATGGCCATGGGTTCATCAAATAATCATGGCATTTGAATAAATGATGGTAATTGCATGGAAAATTAGATGGAAATCCCTTAGAGTCCCTCTATGAATTTAGCTGCATATGTCACATATGGATCTGCTGAATATTGGGTTAAATCCATCTTATTTTAGTTGCATATAGTTCACACTGAAATCAATGGGGCATTAGTTAAATCATCATTACTTTGGTCCATTAATTTCAGTGGGTCTCAAATTAAACTAATTTAATCTGGATTCAGTCCACAGAGCCAAACTGCTGTGTCAAGCTCAATACTGCCAATTCTAAATGGCTATCATGTTCTAGCAATTTCTATTTGGGACTTGTTAAGATTAGAATAAGCTGAAATCCCGCTCTGCCAATACAATTTGCCCAATTTTAACTATTAGAAGCTATCCTACTATCCTCAAAGCATGAGTTAGGAAATTAGCTAACTTGTCAGGCTAATTTTATCTGTAATTTCAGCTTCATCATTAGACTAATCTAAAATTTTTACCAAAATTAAGACTGTTTTTATTACTTGGGATGGTTCCTAAGACATTACCTTAAAATCTAACTCATCTCCTTTACTTTTATGAAAACTTCAATTGAGCCTAAATTTTTCCTTGCTAAGTAAGGCATTTGCTAAGTGAATTTTGCCCCATTTTATGACCTTTCTTGCCACAGCTGTTAAGTGAATTACTGCAGCTGTTAAGTTGGTAACATGGTACTTAAGCGAATCTGGCTTCCTTATTGACTTTGCTTGTCAGAAGGTCACAAAAGGGGGCACCATGATCCTGGGACACTGCAACCGTCATAAATATGAGCCTGTTACAAAATATCTGAATTTTGATCATTGGACCATGGGGATGCTGCAGTGGTTGTAAGTGTGGAAAAAACAGTCATAAGTCACTTTTTTCAGTGCTGTTGTAACTTTGAACAGTGACTAAATGAACTGTTGTAAGTTGAGGACTACCTCTAGGTACATTTCTCTTGCTGTTTTGTACTATTCTTTCCTCATGGTATTTTTATGTTCTCTTAAGTGAACCAGTAAAAAAAAGCAAATGTAATAGCCAATGTTAACTACTGCTTCACTATACAGGGGGGGGGAACCCCTTTTTAACTAGGTTTTGACATGTGTACTATAACCTTTAAAAAGCAAGAACTGAGAGACTTGTTGTTTTTAAAACTCCTTGTATGTTAGCAATGAATACACAACATGAACTAAAGTTTGGAAGGTTCCATCAAAAATTCCATCAAACAACTGAATTAGATTAGAATGCAACTAATTTTTGCTTTATAAAAGAAGGAAGGAAGGAAGGAAGGAAGGAAGGAAGGAAGGAAGGAAGGAAGGAAGGAAGGAAATACCTGATTGTATATTTGCATATATATTTTAAGGCACTCTTTCCCTCTCCCCCCCCCAAAAAAAATATTCATTTGCTTTAGTATTTTAAGGCAGCCTTTAAAATACAGATGCTCACAGTAGTTAATGAATGTGCAGAGAGCCCTCCAAATGATTTCCTTAAGGTTCCACCATATGGAAATTGTCACATAAATTGAAATGCAGGAGATTAATTCATCAGAACGCTTGATTAGTAAAAGAGCTTCTGATAGAACAACTTTCATCTTTCTTTTTTTTTTTAAAAAAAAAAAACGTAGTTGCAACCCTTTTAGTACACAAATTAAGGCCATTTTGTGCAATCAGTTTATTTGCGCAAAAATATATTTCTTGAGCAAGGGCAATCTAGATACAGAAAAAAAACTTTCCAATATTGGGGTCATTCTTTACAAAATGCTAGTTGCCCTTTGACATTCCAGAACATTTAAAAGGATTCATCATGAAAGCTTGTTCAATCCGAGGTAATGCTGTGTTAAAAATATTGTGTTAAAAAAAAGTAGACCATAACATGTTTTGTAAGGAGATGCGAGACATCTATAAATACCATATTTAATTTCACAATAGAAAACCAAATATACCATATGAATCAAGCAGTATCTCAATATCACTGAGATCATTGATCCATTATTTTTAATTCAAGAGGTCAGCTACTCTGTTTTCCAATTCTACAAAGATTCTTATGTTTGGATATGCTGTGATCTGGTTCATATTAAGTGGTGATCTACCATCTCTGTCTCCATTGGAGTAAACTCCAAAATGTGGATTGTGCCAGTCCAAAGAAGGGGATGGTATATCACAGTTCCTTAACATAGTACCAGTCAACTTTATGGCAGCAGGTTTTAAAACAAATTAACATCCATGAATGCTACTCAAGGGCAAACCAATGCTGATTTACCTTGTCTGTGGAGATTCTCAGTCATTCAGATCATAGTTGTCTCAAATGTACTTTTTTTTTTCAAAAGGCAACTGGACTGTATTTTTCCTTGAGGAACAAGAAAAAAAATGTTTCGCTTCTCATCCAAAAAGCTTCATCATATTCTGAATCAGAACTGATGAAGCTTCTGGATGAGAAGCGAAATGTTTTCTTCTTCTTCCTCAACGGGAAAAAAAAACCAGTCCAGTTGCTTTTTGAAGAAAAAAGCAGCTTTGAGAACAATTTACCTTGGATATCAGCACTGTGTTTATGACATAACTTAATCTAAACTGCACTGTAAAATAAAAAACGCTCCCTCTCCCTATTGCTCTCTCTGCCCCTAGTAATATATTTTGTCAGTACATGCAGTCCTCGACTTACAGCCATTCATTTGGTGACCATGTGAAGTTATGACAACCCTGAGAAAAGTGACTTATGACTGGTTCTCACACTTACAACTGCCTGAAATCACATGTTCAAAATCTGGACCCTTGGCCACTGGCATGGATTGATGATGGCTGCAGTATCCCAAGTTCATAGGATTACCATTTCTAACCTTCCCAGGCAGCTTCCAACAAGCAAAGACAATGGGCGAAGCCGGATTAATTTAATAGCAATAGCACCTAGACTTATATACCACCCCATAGTGCTTTACAGCACTCTCTAAGCGGTTTACAGAGTCAGCCTATTGCCCCCAACCATCTGGGTCCTCATTTTACTGACCTTGGAAGGCTGGAAGGCTAAGTCAACCTTGAGCTGGTCATAATCGAACTGCTGTCAGTCAGCAGAAGTAGCCTGCATTACTGCATTCTAACCATTGCGCCACCACGGCTTTAATGACTGTGTGCTTCACTTAATGACCATGATGATTTATTGACCATGGCAAAAAGGTCATAAAACCAGGCATAACTTACTTAACAACTGCCTCACTTAGCAACAGAAGTTCTGATCCCGACTGTGGTCATAACTTGAGGACTATATAGTGAGGCTGCACAAATACCCTTAGTGCAGCAGTCCACAACCTTGGTGGCTTTACGGCCAGGCTGGGGTGGTGGTGGAGAGGGGAACTGGGCCGTATGAATGGCAGGCTGGCGTGTGCATATGCACACATGCAGCCCTTGCGCAAGTGGGAGGCCAGTGTGCATGTGCACATGTTAACTTGCGTGAGCGGTGGGCAGGTGTGCACATGCATACGTGCCAGCCAGCTGCTCATGTAAGTTGAGCTGCATCTGTGCACACACATGCTCTGGCCAGTCACTCACATGGCCCAATTCCAAATAGGTAATGGCCTGGTAATTGGCCATAGGGACCCCTGCTTTAGTGGTACAGCCAGTTTGGTTTACTTGTTAAGACACCAGGCTAGAAACCAGGAAACTGGCCAGTCACTCTCTCTCAGCCCAATTCGCCTCACTGGTTTGTTATTGTGAGAAAAGAGGAGGGGGAAGAAGTACTAGGTAGGTTTGCTACCTTAACTTATTTATAAAAAAAAATAAAATAAAGACAGGATAAAAAAAATAAATAGTCCAATTAACAGCAACATATCTGAACTTGAAGAGTTGTGCAGTTAAGCTAAACAAGTTGGTTGAACTAAATTACATAGTGTTTCATCACATAATTTTAGTAAGGCCTATTTTTTTTTTTCAAAAAAAGCATGCATTTCTTCATTGGGCTTTCAATTAGTATTTTCAGTACGACAAACATTGTTTTTCTATATATAGCAGGAAAGTGACTGCATTTTTGTCCTCCAAAATAACACCACTAATCCCTGCAATCCCTGCAAAGCCCAAATGGCCATCTGCATATTTTCATTCACAGAGCCTAATTTCCCTTAAGACAGAGGCCCCCAACCATTTGGGCACCAGGGACTCGTTCAGTGGACAGAGGTTTTTCCGCGGACCGGAGGGGGCGTGGTTTCATGTACTGCCTGCATCCTTCTTTGCGCAGTCCGGTTTCTGGCATGCCACGGCCTGGTGCCAGTCAACGGGCCTAGGATTGGGGACCCCTGCCTTAAATACCATTATTATGAAAGCAATCTCATAGTGCTTGGCAGTAGTGGGATTCAAATATGTGAACAACAGGTTCTCTGTGTGGATGCCGCTTCCAGAAATCCATTC